TCCGGCCCCGCGGCGCCCCCCGGGGTCGGCCTTGTGCAGCGGCTGTGTCGCAGGTGAACGTCAGCGGACGGAGCCTGGCGGGTCTCGAAGCCAAAAGCCCGGTCGCTTCCCTTTTGCAGAGCCAGAGAGGGAAACCAGCCCAAGCCCAAGCTGGGGCTCCAGGCAGCGGTGTTAACGCGATCCTCTCTGCAGCGCTGGGGCTCTGCCCTAGGAGTGAGGAGTGACACGACCCAAAAACTGAGCCCAAGCTGCTCTTCACTCGGAGAGGGGAAAAACAAAACCCAATCAATTTGATCTTAAATGAAATTTAACATTTATTTTCTGGGCCTGCTTTGAAAGACGAGGAGCGCGGTGCGTGACGCAGGAGTGAAATGCCTGCTTGCTCTCGGTGTAAAGCTCTCCCCTCGTCAGATCTTTTCCCTTAATGCACGTCAGGACTGTGAGGTCTTTGCCACTTCCCAGGGGCTTTGCCAAACTTCCAGGAAAAGGAGAGTTTGAAATTTGGTCCTTGTTTGGCTTTCAGGTCATTTTTTGCCTCCAGTGCCACGAGTGCAGCAGGAGCCTTTGTAGGCACCAAGACTGGAAGCGCACGACGAGCACGGTGACAGGCGGGAGGGGACCGCGGAGGCCTAGGACGGACGCTGCTTCCAGTTGTGAGTGCAGTTAAAAACAGGTGAGAAAGCCAGCAAAACCCAAAGCCACCATGTTTTTACAGTGTTTCTACAACCTTGGTGGGAAATTTGGCCAGAGTGAGAAGTGAGTTTGTCTGCACTTTATGAAAGTGCGGCTTCTGCCTTGTGACAGCGGATTTCTGACGTGCAGTTGTACAAATGTGTCACTCGGTGGTTTGAGCCCCAGCTGGGCAGCGCTTGCACCTCGTCACATCTCCTCCTAACCCTGTCCCACCCCGCGTGCCAAATGGTGTCTGGAGGTGCTGGCCCCAAAGCATCTCTGTCTGGAAGCATCTGTAACCCCAGCCCCGACGCCGTGGTACTGCAGCGGAGCAGCGAGCTCTGTGTCCCAGGGCCTGGGCTGGCAGCGTGGTGGCATCGCAGTGGCCGCCCAGCCGTGTGCTGGTCTTGTGCTGGCGGAGGGTCACAGAATGACAGGATGGTCGGGGTTGGCAGGGCCCTCTGTGGGTCCCCCAGCCCAACCGCTGCCCAAGCAGGGTCACCCAGAGCAGGGGGCACAGCACCGCGGCCAGGCGGGG